AAAAAAAAAAAACATTTACAGTTAGGTCTATAGTCCATTTTGAATTAGTTTTTGTGTATGGTACAAAGTAAGGATTGCAAGTTGATCCCCCATTTTTAGCTGTGAGCATCATTTGTTGAAGACGTTTCTTTCCCCAGTGACTTACCTTGGTACCTTTGTCAAAAATCAATTGATAGGGTTTATTGGTGGACTCTATATTTTGTTCCATTCATCTTTCTGTCCTTACATCAGTACCTCACTGTCTTGATTATTCTAGCTTTATATTAAGTGTTGAAATTAAGTGGTGGATGTCCTCCAGCTTCTGTCTTTTCCATTATTATTTTGACTATTGTATGTAAATTTAAACATTGCTCCTGAGGGAAAGAAATTTTTCAATAGATTTATATAAAGTTCTTATAAACATTGTAGGATAGCAGCATAGAATTCAAAAAAATGTAGAAGGGTACAAAGAAGACTTAAAATCTTCTGGAATCCTACCATTAAGGAAAAAAAAATCACCATTTTAGTGGCATTGCTTCTAGACCTCCTCCTTCCTTTCTCTGTCCCTTACTCTCTCCTCCTTTCTCTCTCCCTTTACCTCCTTTCATTCCCTTTCTTCCCAAGGGAAAGGAATGGGGATGGAAGAAGAGCAGTGTCTTAACATAAAGGAATATTCATAATTTCTGTGACTATGATTTTCCATTATGTTGGATGTTTTCCTGATAGTGCATTGAGAGCTACATGATTAATTTGTAATGGCAACATAATTGATACATAAAATTATATTTATATTTAAGTCCATATTTATATTTGTCCTCTGCTGTTGGATAATTGTTTCCAACTTTTTGCTACTATATGCGGAAAACAATTGGATAATAATATATAAAAAGGATGTTTGCTGAAAGCACAATAATAAAAAATTAGAAACAGTTTATAAATGTATAAGCATTATAGTTTATTCATAAAGTGAAAAACTATTCTGTGATTAAGTTGATGGTGTTTCCTAACATCTTGAGGAACATGTTACTGATATGCTTATGAAGAAGGAAATTTTGAGGCAGTATGTATGATACCCCATTCTTCTAAAATAAATGGGGTTTCATTCAGGATTAGGGTATGTGTTGGTAGGTTGACAATGAAAGGTAGATACCTTTTTTCTGCCTTTGATAATTATCTAGATTCTTTCCATACTTGTCTTTGTAGACAGTCTTTATGCTGAAATTAGGAATGATTTTTTGAACATTTGTATTAGTTCTTGCATTTAGGTTACTGTCGCGGTATGGTAGATGGAGATCAACTTGCTTCTCAAAGTACTTTTTTCCCTTGCCTCACCTAATTCAAGCTTTACAGTTTGTAGCTTATTTTTTTTGAAAGATGAGATGCTTTGTCTTTCTTACTGATCGTGAGTCCTGAGCTCTGTTTTGTGTTGCCCTAATGAGACACTGAGTCTGTTAATTCTGAACTCGCTGGCCGCTGGGCCTGCACGACTCTACACCACGCTGTGAGTTACAGACGAGCTCTAACTATGCTTTCTGCTTCATCAGGGAGCCTAAATTCAAAACCTGGTTTTTGTGCATGTCTTCCTACATTGGCCTGGCCTCTTTCAGTGCCTTTCTCTAGGAAAAAGGCATCACATGTAATAAAGAGAGTGTTTTTTCTAAATTTGGTGCAGCCTAAGCAAATTGAAGCGGTAGTTCTTTATCAATAAAAGCGATTGTGGGGGCGCCTGGGTGGCTCAGAGGGTTAAGCGTCTGCCTTTGGCTCAGGTCATGATCTCGGGGTGCTGGGATTGAGCCCCGCATCAGGCTCCCTGCTTGGCGCGGAGCCTGCTTCTCCCTCTCCTCTGCTGCTCTTCCTGCTTGTGCCCTCTTTCTCTGTCAAATAAATAAATAAAATCTTTAAAAAAAACAAAAGCGATTGTGTGGAATTATAACAACACATTGATAATATCTAATTAAACAATGCTAACCTTTTTACATTATAATAGATTCCTTTGTTTTGCTATTAAATATTTCTAAAAAGTAAATATTATGCAATTGCAGATTTCTTTTATGATGGCGAAAGATGCAGAAATGCATAAGAGTAAGCTACAGTACTTTATGGAGCAATTCTATGGAATCATCAGGAACATGGATTCAAACAGCAAAGATTTATCCATTGCTATTCGTGGATATGGACTTTTTGCAGGAGTATGGCTCATTAATTTATTCTTTTTATTTCATTTTGAGCATTTAAAGGAATATAATTTATTGCATTTTTTAATAGCATCTCACACTTGTGACAATATTGTTGTTACTTGCTTTGTTGTTAACTTGTTTTTTCAATGCCAACTATGTGCTAGGATTCTGAATACGTATTATCTCAAATTTTCATAACTCTCCTACAAGCTTTTAGGAGTATTATTCCACTTTTCAAATGAGGAAACTGAGACCTAGAGAAATTAAGTTACTTGTCAAAGGACACACAGTTAGTAATTTATAGAGCCAAGACGTAAATTCAAGCCTGAAGACTTGAAACAACATGTTTTTTCTACTGTGCTATGCTGCCCATTATTTATGAAGTAAAATTATAGTTGATGTCACTCAGTGTTTTAGAAAGAGAGGTTCTTGGGGCGCCTGGGTGGCTCAGTTGTTAAGCGTCTGCCTTCGGCTCAGGTCATGATCCCAGGGTCCTGGGATTGAGCCCTACATCGGGCTCCCTGCTCCGCAGGAAGCCTGCTCCTCCCTCTCCCACTCCCCCTGCTTGTGTTCCCTCTCTCATTGTGTATCTCTCTGTCAAATAAATAGATAAAATCTTAAAAAAAAAAAATAGGTTCTTACGACAGAAGTCGTAATATTTAAGAATATTAATGGGGTGCCTGGGTGGTTCAGTCAGTTGAGCATCCGACTCGATATCCGCTTAGGTAATGATCTAAGGGTTGTGAGATGGAGCCCCACGTCAAGCTCTGTGCTGGGCGTGGAACCTGCTTAAGATTCTCTCTCTCCCTCTCGCCTCCCCCCGTCTCTCCCCCACCCTCTCTAAAAAAAAAAAGACTATTGATAATAACTATAGTTATTTCCATCTTAGTGGATCTCTGTGACTTCTACTTTATGGAGAAAATCACTTCCTACCTCTCTACAGATCTCCCCATCAGTGTCTACTCCCTTTTTCAGGGTACGAGAGCCCCTCTTCCCAGCTTTCTACTCTCACTACTCATTCCATTTCTGATCATTTCCTCGTTTGCTTCCAAATGATCCTTCCTTCTCTTGCTTTTTAATTTTCATCTTCATTTGTCTCTGTTGGCTCCTTTGAATATATATAGGGCAGAAGAACCAGTATGTGAGAAGGCTTAGAGGTAAATGAGAACATGGAATTTTCAATTTTATACACTATGGTCTAACCAACTTAAACTTGTTCACTGTAGTTAGAATATGTTCACAGTGTAGCTGGAGCATGATAGACAAAAAGGGAGAGGACTCTAAAAAGATTAGTCAGATCCTCAGGGAAGCTAGATTAGATCTGAGGTCCAAAGAAGCCTTTGAAAAATCTGAAGCTGAGTAGTAGCATTATCAGATTTGTGAGTTACAAAGATGGCTCTGGGTGTAGTGTGCAGAATGGTATCGTAGCTATTCCAGCTCTGAGTTTACGTCTTGGTCCCCCTTTAGGTGACTACCTCACGGGGCGCAGACTGCATCTCATTTGTCTTTGATAGCTACCATCTAAGCAATATCTAGAATAGCTGACTATCAATAGATTTTTTTGTGTATAAATACATATTTAGAATATAATTACAGATTATTTTTAAAAGCATCTTTATGAGATATATTGTATTTTATAATTTTCATTTCCATTAAAAAGCTTGTTAATATTCAGCTTATCACATGGCTTAACATGACACCTTAAATAACATTATTTCGACATTGATAAGATTGATAAAGACTTTTGTTTACCTTTCCGAAAGCCTTGCAAGGTTATAAATGCAAAAGATGTTGACTTCATGTATGTAGAGCTCATTCAGCGCTGCATGCAGCTGTTCCTCACCCAGATAGACACTGTTGATGACCACGTTTACCACATGCCAAGTTTCCTCCAGTCTATTGCAAGTGTCTTGCTTTACCTTGATACAGTAAGTGAAATAATTAAATTGAGCACGATTTTAACTATTTAATCTCAGTTCGTCAGATAATTTCACGGAGTCATATGAATTATATGCATTTAGTACAGGCACGATTGTGAACAAGGTGACATTTTTAGTTATACTTTGTGTTAATAGAATTATTGTCATGAAAGTTGACTTTTTGTTATCCAAAGCAGGAAAAATTATTTGTTACTTGTTTTATCTTTCTAAAAGATTAAGATTGCTTCTTGAGATAGAATTGCACCTTAGGTATCGTTCAGACAGCTTTACTCTGATTTTTTTAGGCAATCACAATAAGTGTTCAGCTTATTAGTAGATTGGATATAAGCCAGGTTTTTCATTTATCTAATATGTGTCCACTTGAGTTGTAATTACTTTGGATATTTGTATCATTCCTATATATATTTATTCCCTCCTCTAACTTTCAGTTTGCTCTCCATTTCTGATAGGTTCCTGAAGTGTATACTCCGGTTCTGGAACATCTCATGGTGGTACAGATAGACAGTTTCCCACAGTATAGTCCAAAAATGCAGTCAGTGTGTTGTAAAGCCATAGTGAAAGTTTTCCTAGCCTTGGGGGGAAAAGGACCAGTTCTCTGGAATTGCATCAGTACCGTGGGTAAGTTTGGAACTCACCCTTGTTTTTATGATGATGAATGATGAATACTTAACATGTTGTTTGTTATAGATACCTTTCATATCTTTTTTTTTTTAATTTTTTTTTTATTCTTATGTTAATCCCCATACATTACATCATTAGTTTCAGATGAAGTGTTCCATGATTCATTGCTTGTGCATAACACCCAGTGCTCCATGCAGAATGTGCCCTCCTCAATACCCACCACCAGGCTAACCCATCCTCCCACCCCTCACTTTCCCTCCCGCTA